GAAAAGGAATAATTCTTTTCGGGAGGCTTACTGTTTGATCACAGAACTCATGGCTGTTATAAAGGAACAAGTAATCATGGCTGTTATAATGATGACTCATGGCCATCGTTATCAGAGGCAACTGTACCAACTACCCAATGCCTAAGAAAATGCTTGAAAATGTTAGTCCCTCAGTCATGTCCAACTCTTTGCCATCCCATGGACTGTAACCTGCTAGGCTCCTCTGTTCATGGGATTCTCCAGGCAAGAATACTGAAGTGGGTGGCCATTCCCTTCTCCAGGGGATCTTTATGATCCAGGATTGAACATGAGTCTTCTGCACTACAGGCAGATTCATTAGCATCTGAGCCACACTCATGCAAAAAATCAGACTGGTTTAAGAAAATCTATTTGATGACTATTGCTAATCATTTTTCCTCCAATTCTCTGGCTGTCAATTATCTAATACATCACTGAATAAAATCTCTTTTTCTTTAAACTGTCCATTCAAAGATGTATTAACTGAGAAGGCTCTAGTTCAGACTTTTTATTATCCAGACTCAGTCCTGGATTACTGCATTAGACTCAGTTTCAACTGACTTTCTGCCTATTTCTACCTATTTTGGGCTTCCCTGGTGGCTGACTGGTAAAGAATTCCCCTGCCAATGCAGGAGATACAGGTTCAATCCCTGGGTCGAAAAGATCTGCTGGAGAAGGAAATGCCAACACACTCCAGTAGTCTTGCCTAGGAAATCTCATGGGCAGAGGTGCCTAGAGGGCTACAGTCCGTGGGTTTCAAAAGAGTTGGACATGACTTAGCATTTAAACAACATTTCCACCTCTTTAGTTCCTGCCAGACATCACTGCTAGATAAACCTCCTTAAAATAAAGCTTCCATATGAACCAGTCCCTCCTCTGAAGTTTTACTCAGTTCTACCTTTCAAGGCTCCAAATGATATCATGACAATTTGCTTTTCCATACACAAGTTCTCCTGTCCACCCAGACCATCCTTTTCTTTGCTGATGGAATGTGCCTTGTATACCACCGTCTTTGCTGGAACTCCTCCCCTCCATCCGACTTGTTTCCTCTTTGAATAGTATCTACTGTTCAAGGCCCAACCCAGGTCTTCCTTCTTGAGGCAGCAGTCCTGGTCACTGAACGTCCATGTTCTCCTTCCTCTGTTTTCAGTAGGAGCTCAGCAAGGGTTTGCAGAAATTAATTATAGCTTCATTAAACATCAATAGCACTTTTTGGCAATATCACCCACTGATACACAATTATGTGTTGTCCTATGGCACTGCATGCATGCATGCTCAGTTGTGTCTGTCTGTTTGTAACCCCATGGATTGTAGCATGCCAGTCCCTTCTACCCATGGAATTTCCAGTCAAGGATACTGGAGTGGGTTGCCATTTTCTTCTCCAGAGGATCTTCCCAACCCGGGGATCGGAGCCGGGTCTCCTGCACTGGGAGGCGGATTCCTTCCCACTGAGCCACCTGGGAAGCTCAGTGGTGTTACTTCACTTTCTGTTTGTACATTTCTTGAGTTCCTATTTGAAGTAAGGTGAAAGCTTCTTAATGCCTGAACCATGTCTTCAAGACTTCTTTTGTATGCCATATATTGTGTCCCAGGCAAAGGCATTGTATACTTAGACTGACATACAACTGACCCTGATGCTGGGAAAGATTAAGGGCAGGACGAGAAGCGGGCAACAGAGGATGAGCTGGTTGGATGGCATCACTGACTCAATGAACATGAGTTTGAGCAAGCTCCAGGAGACAAGGAAGGACAGGGGAGTATGGTGTGCTGCAGTCCATGGGGCTGCAAAGAGTCAGACACAACTTAGTGACTAAACAACAGCAAATGCTTAAATAATATGGAATAAAATCACCTAGTCAACAGCTTTAGATAATATAGCCAGTTCGGCAGGCCAAAAGAACAGCCACGACTTAAGATATCTGGCCTCTAAGTCTTAGCCTTACTAATGCATTAATTTGGAGCTGATGAAAATAAACTAAAAATGCAAGAAATTCAGATGCCCTCAAAAGGATAAATGCAAAGGAAAACACCTAGACACATCAGAGACAAACCGCTGCAAATCAAAGATAAAACCTTGAAGGTAGCTACAGAAAACTATACAAGCCAGAAGATAATTGAATGACACAAGAGTGCTGAATGGAAAGAAATAAAAGTTAATGAATCTAGATTTATATATCCAGAAAAACTGTAATTCAAAACAAAAGGTAAAATAAACACTGTTCAGACAAACAAGAGTAAAGAAAATTCATTGCTCTCAGACTTGTGTTATAAGAAATGTTAAAGGAAATTATTCAGAAAGGAGTATGATACCAGATAGAAATTTAGATCTACATTAAAAAATGAAAAACACCAGGATGTAGATAAATATAAAAGTTTTAAAAACCTTTTTAGATTTAGAAGTGTTTAGAAGATAACTAACAGTCAGGGGTCAGCAAGCTACAATATGAAGGTAAATATAGTTTTAATGAAACATAACTACATCCATTCATTTATGTGTAGTGTCAAGAGCTGTCATCCCTGGTCTAAAGCACCAAAGTAAAGATAAAGAACAATTTTAAAAACCCAATATATTATAAAGTTTATAATATATGTAAAAGTATGAAAATAGCCCAAAATATAGAAGATATGGAAATGTACTCTTGTAAGATTTCTACCATATATATGAGGTGTTATAATACTATTTGAAGGTAATCTGTGATGAGGAGATGTATCATAAACATAAAAAAATTTTAAAAAGGTAATATTAACAATAGGGAGATATAATGGAATACTAAAAATATTCAAATCTGAAAGCTAATCAAGTGCCCATCATTCAGAAAAATGGATAAATGTAGGTATAGTCACACAATGGAATACTAAACAATAATGAGAAAGATTTATGACTGTATAAGACGATGGAAGAACCTCACAAATGTAACTGTGAGCAAAAGAAGCCAGACATAAAAGAGTATACACTGTTCATTTATATAAAACACAAAAGCAAACAAAATAACAATCTGTAATGTTAGATGTGGTTACCCTTGGCAGTGGGGTGGGGTTAGAGGGCTAGTGACCAGAAAGAACTCTCTGGAGGACCTCCAGTGAATTAGTAACCTTCTGTTATTTTAATTTAGTTGTTGGTTACACAGGTTTGCTTTATGAAAATTTATTGAGTGATACATTTATGATACATGCAATTTTCTATATGGATATTAAATATCTGTAAAAATTATAAATATACATAATTAACTTTTACTGATACCTATATAAATATATGATATATACTTAAACTAAACACCTGATGAAAGAATATGACAACACACACCAAAATAGGGATTCTGAAAAAAAGTTGATGTTCTATAAACTTTAAAAAGTCACAGTAATTTTGAAATAAATATACAGGTAAACAGTAAATTAAAACAGTAAATTAAAACAAAACAGTAAATTAAAATTGTAAATTCTCTAAGAAGAAGCACTGAGATAAAGAGCTGGAAAATATGAGAGTAATTAGACACAGAATAAAATGGAAAGACATAAATCTAACAGGACTGCTAGATGGAACAGATGTGATATTCAAAGAGACAAAGGATGAGAACTTTCCAAAATTGATGAACAACATGAAAGTTCAGGCTCAAAAAGAATGTGCTCTGAACAGAATAAACACAAATCATCTATACTTAGAAGCCTATGTTAGTGCTGCAAAAATTCTTAAAGATAGACTAGCTGTCTCCTTTGTTTTAAAGATAAGAATACTAAGGCCTAAAAAGATTAAGTGATTTGCCTCAATCAAAAAGCTAATAGTAGAGATGGAAATAATCTTAATATGTTACAGTTTAAGGTTTACTTACAGATAAGAGGAACAAAATAGTAATTTCTGACTTCAACTTTCCTACTGGTATCATCATTTATAATAGCAATAAGAGATATTACTGTTCACAAAGAGAATTTAACTCAAGTTGAAACTATGAAGAGATTATGGATTCAAGTGCATGCAGTAAGTGTTTAACAAGTGATACTCAATAAATGATTAGGCCAGGCTACTGCTGCCTACATATGCCTTAAAGAAATAGTTTCAAGATAAATTTCCTATTTCAATTTAACTACAAGACCATTATAATCATTTCAACCCATAAAACTTATATTTTTCATATTCCTCTATTTAAATGTTTCAACATTTTAGAGTGCTTTTGAATTACAATTTTTCTGTTATATGCATCAACATATAAGGTAAATTACTTTCTTCCTTTGAAATAGAGCTAATTAAATGTCTAAATGCCCACGGTAAGTCTGATACAAATTTCAACCTGGTCAGAGAGACAGAAAATGTACTAAAGACCTGATATAAAGCATTCTTTTCTTATGTAGTACAATGAATAATTTCTGATGGTGGATCTGGAATAGGTATTAATTCAAGTATTAAAGAAGAAAAGATCTAGTTAGGAAAGGAAAGTGTTAAGTTTAGTTCTTATTCAAATTTTATAATTTTGAATTATCAGAGAAAAATTATATTATTTTAATGATCATGGATCTTAAAATTATAATAAAATAATTCTATGGCCAAGTCTGTTGACTTTTCAGACAATATTTTCCCGAAATATAAAAAAATTAAATGTCAAAATGAAATGATCTGTATATTCCAGGTGGAAGCATTTTCAGAAATTTCTAACACATGTTTTCTTACAAATAAGACAACTTTATTATGACATGAAATACACAGGCACAGATATTTCTTTAATATTTTGACTAAAGTGAAAAAAACAAAGCAATTGGTACTTAAATACCAGACTCAGGAGAAAACTAATTTGTTTTATGGATGAGTCAAACTTTTTAGAGCATCTTGATCAGTTACAGCTGCTTATGAAAGTTAATAATGTTTTTAATTTTTAATAAATTTTAATTCTTCATACTCATAAATCTGGCAACTATAAAAGAATTCTTAAAATTAGCAAATTTAGTCAGTAAAAATGAAAAATGAAACTAAAATAGACAACAGACCATGAAAATACTTCTACCAAGTATTTACTGCACAAATAACTCACACAAATGTATAAAGAAACCATTAAGACATTTATTTATATAAGTGACAAAGTATATGAAAAAGTCACACAAAGGTAAATCAGCAATTTTGAGCTCTTATAACTTACTAAATTAGCAACAGTAACATATAACCCCCCCACCCAAAGCTGTAAACTTCTGGTGAACTGATATACTCAAATGGTAACACTGTAAAATGTTACAACTCTCTGGGAAAGCAATAAGGCAAACTTATTAAGAACCATAAAACTGTTTATATTACTTCATTTAATAATTCCACTTCCAGGAACTTATCCTAATAAAACTGAAAATAACCTAAGAATTTAGCAATAGGGAAATGGTTTAAATAAACTCAAGTAAAAAGATTAAATAATCATTATCAAAACTAAATACAAATAGTCAAATAATATGAAATTAAAAAATAGTTAAAAAAACAGTAATACAAAATCAATGTTCTGAAGTCACTGTATCAGGTGGTGAGGATTATGGGTAATTTTTCCATTTGGCAAAATTTTCTTCAGTGTTTTCAATAAAAGAAAAGGATCGGCTACCATTTCAGAAAGTCACTTGTCTTTTCAAAACATTTACACTCTTTACCATTAGCAAATTATACACGCCAAAATGTAAGTTGAGGAACAGAGCCAAGATGCTTCAGGCGCTTTCCATCCCTCATCAGGCAGCGTGTGAAGGCGTACTGGACCCTGTCCCATTCCAACAGGAAGAGGCAACCACTGCCAGCTTTGGCAACACAAACTGCAGGCCACTAGCCACAAACTGGTAAAAGTTTCAGCTTACCACTTTGTATGTCTGAAGTTTTATTTAAGGCATTATGATAACTAGCTCTTTTCCTTACAATTTTCTGTCACTTAAGAAAGTTCTAACATTTTCGTTCTAAAAATGTTGACAATACACTGAAAGTGCTCTACTGAAGCATGTAACTTCTTAGACTGAGTTTATGTTATGTTCACCACAAATACGACCATTTTTCTGTACATATTTAAAATTTAGAGGTTGGAGGTTGCGTAACAACTACCTTTGCAAGAAAGACAATACATAAAAATCTAAAAATTCTTATTTGATGAAAATTTAACAACTCTTCCCTTTGAACTTATATTTATTTGAATAAATGCAGTGGGATTTGAACAGACTGGCTGCATTATATATTGCTTTCCCATAACAAAAATATGAAGCACTCATTACACACGAAATTTACTCTTTTGGAATGTGACTGTTTTCAAAACTATGGTAAAGAGGGACATGGACCTGTCAGTATGCCATTTGAATGAAAATGTTCGAGAACAACTGTTTCTCAACATTTAAAGAAATGGGATTAACTGCAAATACAGGGCAAGCCTCAAAGTTTGTAAACATCACTTGAAAAAGCAAACTGCAAACAAAATACCAGGGGCTTGATACCTAGAAAGAGGTGTAAATAAAGACTAAAAAATAAAGAAAAGTTTTTAATTGAAGACGCATTCTTTAGCTTAATTTTTAAAAATTAGGTTATTCAGTATATTGGCACGGGGTGGTCGACTGTACTGATTACCAGGAAAACATCTCATAGCTGCCAAAACATAAACCATAGGAGCTGTCCTATGCTAATGGTAGAGTAGAGGTGAATTTATTTAAACATTTAGTCTTCTCTTTACATTCCATTAGTGGTAGCAGCAATAATTTGGTTCAGTTACAAATATTTATTATAAAAGTTTATTAGTTTCCAAGATCTAAACAAACACAGCTATTACCAAGATAAGTATAACATTATTAAAGAAATGTTCTTAATAATCATAAACTCTCTAAGACGTAAGAGCTAAATAATGGCTTTTTCAAACATAGTTAAGGAGTTTCAATAACCAGAGCCACCAGGAAGCCAAAATAAAGTCAAAGAAACAAATATACATTCACTTCATGACACCAAAGAAACATGTAGCTCATTGTTTTCCCCCTCTGATTAGAAAATATGGTCAACCTTTTCATAGGAAAAGACTTTTTAAGAGAGATCAAAATCAGAAAGTTGCTTTTCCTGAATCCGATCTAACAGCATGACAACATTCTACAGTACAGCAAGAAATGGACAACTGGAGGGCTATTTATAATGTACGGCAGATAAATTGTGTACCATAGAAACCGTCAACGATGGACATTTTTCTTCATGCAAAAAAAGAAAAAAACCCAGAGGTATCATTTGTCTTTTGCACGTAGCCTGTCATTCTGCACACAGGATTCAAATGTCAACCAGGAAATGATAACAATCCCAAGCCAGCCTTAAAGTGTCTTAATTACATCATCTTCTCCCTTTGTCTCATTCAGAGTTATATACTCACAGCTCAAAACTTGCTCATTAGACTCCTCAGGTTTTGATTTTTTAAGTGCCAGCTCTGCTGGGAGAAGAGATGAGCACTGCTCGAGAGACTGCGCGATGTCATCAATCGTCCATCTGTCTTCGGGCAGGGCATGCTCCTCCAGGGTGAACGGTCCCTGTTTGGTGCGCGTCAGCTCTAGCACATTGGCACAGGAAGAGAGTTCTGTGGCAACAAAAGGGAAAAAGAAAATGCATGATAAATGATTTAGTATTTCATAGTCTTACCATTTTTCAAATGACTGAGGGACTCAGTTCAAACCTTTCAAAATGACCCTAAATGTAAAGTTGTAAAAATCCAAAATAATAACCAGGAGCCTTGAGATTAAGAAATGATTAAGTAGCCAAATAATATTTAATAGCTCATCTAATAAACTGGTTAAAGTCTAGTAGGAACTGGCACTCACTTTTCTCATGTAACCCATGAAGCAACCCCTGGAGTAACTATTACTCTCACTTCGCAGATGAGGTAATGAGGCCTGTCCCATGTCACCACAGCCAGCCAATGGCAGGGCCAGATCTCCAACTTCCCGGTTGTTAGTAAGATGATGGCTTCTAGGTTGTTTTAAAAAATTTGACGTATAGCAACGAAAAAAAATTTTTTTTAAAGGAGTAATCTTTTCTTCTTGTACCTACTTTGAGTTAAAACATTTTATGCTTGAAAAAAAAATGCTGGTCCTTAGATTCACTATTCACATCTTCATTTTCTGTTCCTCTTTTTCTCTTCTCTCCCATTACAAGCATTTCACTGCAGCTGTGGATGCTGCTAATTGTCTGCCATAAACCTAGAATGCTTTTAAGGCTGAAAGCACAGCCTTCATTACTGGCACAGTTCCTAAGGCCAGTCAGTACTCAGAGATATGAAAAACGGAAAATTCCTTTTTCCCATCAAAAAGGAATATTACTCTCTAAACGGTAATTCGTAATTCATCTTTATGCTTACCTTTGCCAATGTCACTGACCAAGCTTCTGATATAAAAACCTCCTCCACATTCGACATCTGGAATGTTAACAGTGACATGGTAAATTGCTAAGTTCCTATGAAATCCACTTTACATAGAAATGATGCCCCTAAACAAATGTAAAAATGCACTATGTAAACAATCGAGTGATAAAATATTTATGTGCTAAAACATAAATTATTCATCTAGTAGCATATGTGTGTGTGAGACTGAAAAGTCAGATTGTGGAGAAAGCAAATAGCAGAAACTCACGAGCAGGTCTTAAATTACATGGCAAGTCATAGCACTCTAATACTTCAGCCTTGTGCATTTAATAGGTTTTAAATAGTTAGAAATCTCAGCTTTGCTATCATGAGCTGCAGACTTAAAAAATTTTTTTCAGATTTGCACATCTTGTTCATTTAAAAGGTTTCAAATGGTTAGATATCTCAGCCTTGCTATAATAAGCTGTAGATTTTTTAAATATTTCCAGATTTGCATACTCAAAAAATACAACAAACAAACAAAAATTCCCTTTTCAGTGACAGGAATTATGTTTGGGGTAATATATTACACAGAAAACTCAGCATATTTAAACGTCCTTTTGGAAATATTCCTTAAAAAAAATCATGAAATAACTTAAATCTACACAGTGTACCAGAACTGACTACTGACTGCATGTCTAAACATCTTCTTAGCTTAGCCAGTATAATACAAGTTTATTGGTTAAGAGCAAGGCTCTGGATTATTTTTATTCATCCACAAGACATCCTGAAAAGAACTGTATTTCCATACAAAAAGACTACATTCCACCTGTTTCTAGCTTAGCATACAAATAAAGTTATTTGAGGGAATTAATCAAAACTCCCCACCTGGGTATTTTAATTTCTCTTCTCCCCCATCAGCTCAAGGTTGGGAGCCACTGCTGAGATTTAAAAACTGAGCACTAGGACCAAATGGAGGTGCACTACATTCTTGCACTATATTTGACTTTGATGAAAAGAGTCAAATGTGGCCTACTATAAACGCCAATGAACAAATACAACTGGAAAAATTTGAGGTTTGGTTTTTTTTTTTCACTTTCATAGATAATATCTGCTTTGCCAACACAGCTGTTGCTTTTTCATGGAACATAGTAAAATACTTTATAGCATATTTGTTTCATTGTTTGTCTAATATTTTAGAATCAGGAAACTTAAGGAGTGATTTCCTAAAAAAATTGTACAAAACCCACAACCTACAGGAACTTACACTAAATAATGTCAAAAGGAGAAAAAAGAGCAACAAAGTTTAGGAAAAAAGATTTGGGAAATTATTTCTAAAAGTCATCCTATTCAGAATGCACCATGAAATTAAGAGCAGCGTCAATTTCAGGGAGCAGGATCAATTTCAGGGAGACTGAAGATTAAGAAGAACTACAGCTTTTGATTCTTCACAACTCTTACACATTCAGGGCTTTAGCTAGGAGATCATAAAATTTTCAAACAATAGAAAAAGACTTTTTGGGTTTTAAATTTATTTCAAGTATGGATTATAGATAAATTCAAATTGTTAACTTGAATTAAACTTTACTACATGTCCAGGAATACATTTCTGCATTACCCATTATTCCTATATTTTCATGGTCTTTAGCAGTAATTTGCTGGTGACAAACAGAAAAATCACTCAACTTTTAGAATTTCTTGTTCACAGACTGAAAATGCATTGTTTTAAAAGGACAAATAAATGTCAATAAAAAAACTGAGTGTAAACTATCAGGTACTAGCCAAAATGAGAAACAAGTATTCATAAGACAATAAAATAGAAAATACAAAATCTTGAAAATATGTATTCCTTACCTACTCTTCTCTACAGAGATCCAAAGTATGTTATTTACAATTTTATAGTAAGATAATATAAGAAACTCAGACGATTTAGGACAACTCTGAACCCCTATATAGCCATAGGTATTATCATATGTGTTGTCAGAAAGTTATTAACAAATTCTAACCTTCTTTAAAGTCCAACTTAAAAAAACTTCCAATATCCTCGGGATCCACTAAAGTTACAGAAAAGTAGCCAAATATAAAATAAAGTCACATGTAAATACAAATGATTTCCGATTTCTCCATCTTACCTAGTGTGAAAAATGGTGGCTGGAATTTCTGAAGGGAGAGACTGTATACAGTAACTGGCCTGGCAGGCTTTGCTTCTACTACGTCACCTCTCTTCATCAAAGTTGAAAGTCTCTGGCCATCTTTCTTTAATGCAGAATAGCTTGCAAAGTACAAGAGGGAGACAAAGAGAGAAGGGAGCAAGAGTAAAGAGAGATTGAGAAAGTGACAGAGAATAATTCCAGATTCCAGCATGAAAAGAAAAGATGATTAGCAGCCCTTTCAACTGAAAATCCTTCCAGGAATGAACTTTTTTTCCTTCTAACCTACTCCACACTGGTGTCGGGGACAGAGTTCCTAAATATCTTGGAGGCTAATACAGTTCCTTCTGGCACTCAGGGAGCAATGTTGTCAAATATTCCTCTTTAACCATCTTCCTGGAGATGGTCTATTCATGTCTTCACTAGTCCTCATTCTGGGTAAAGGGAACAAGGCATCTGGTAGCAATGATCTCAGCTTTATTTCCTTGAAACAATGTATTTCCATTGTATTTATATTCATTTTCGCGTAAAAGTTACCAAAATGTTTCCAAAGAAAAAATAAGCAAATAATCTACTTAACAGCACTTAACTTTGTGTGATTAAGTATGATTAGTCCACACAAAAAAATCCTTGGAACAATCACAGGGAAGAAAATCCTAGGACGATTCTTATAAACATAAATGTTTACTATATCTTAACAATAACGATCCAAAATAATGTTTGTTCAGATCCTGGTACAATTTTTAAGTCTTCCCATTTGAGGCAAAATTATAAAGAAACATTTCCCACAGACATTTCAGTGTTCTTAAAAAAATTAAGATTTTTTAAAAAAAACAAAATTCTAAAAGAAGTTTTAGTAACATATCTTGACACATTCTATGCCATTAGAGAAAAAAAGAAGCAATTTGCTTGAAATTATAATGTGCACAAAAATATGGCTTAGGTGGTAAATCAATATATTTATACTTTTAATAAGTTATAATTCTCATCTGTTTCATTTGTTGCAGAGGATTGTGAAATATAAGATTCTGGGCCCAAAAAGAATGGTCCCAACACGTGACAGGAAGTGTCAACTGGACTCTAAGGCATAACTCTGATGCCTGTACCAGATGGCACTGGTCCCTTTTCCTGCTATTCTGGGACAAGCAACGTGTCTGCTGCTCTCCAGAACTGCCCTGATGACTACAGGTGGGACCAGAAAAACCAACAAACCCTGGAAGAGCACAGATGTCAGGCTGGGACAATATCCAGCGACAAAGGAGACTGCACCCCGCGTGTGTATGCGCTGTGCTCAGTCACGTCTGCCTCTTTGTGACCCCATGGACTGGAGCCCACCAGTCTCCTCTTAAAGACATCAGAGGCTCTGTATCCTATCTGAACCAGGGTCACCTCTCTTGACCAGTTGCTAGGTCTAAAACATGCCTTGCCATAAAGTAAAAGGAAGCCACTCTCCTTTTTCTTCATTAGCGCGATGTCAGCCACTGGAAAATAAAATTAAACATTTATTAAAATTCAACAATTGAACTTACAGGGGAGGTACCTGCATTATATTCCCAGTGAATTTCTGCAGAATGCTTTCAATATCTTCTTGTGTTATTTTATCTGCCAAAAATGAACCAAAAAAAGTGTCACTAAAACAATCACAGAAGTACATGTGCTATTTTCACAGTACTGACAACTCTGAAAATAAAAAATTTTTTTTTTCAACAAAGCACTTATTACATTATACATTTTACAGGTCAAATTCTACCTTGTTGAGATGAATAAAATACACAATAATGAGATAAAAGGGGGAAAGTCTTATACTGTCCAATATTAAGACTAAATTCAACTTCCTATGCTTCATTTTTTTCTCCATTAAAAAGAATCCAATCGTTTTATGTGCATTTACTACATTCTCACTAGGGCCTTCAGAAGATCTGAGAAAAATGCTGCATTAGCTACAGAAATGGTCCTGCAGTGATCAAAAATGTGGTGATTAGAAAGTAAGTAGAAAAATACCCACAAAGCTATTTCTAAGCTTCTCCAGGGATCAGATATTATAAATAACTAAATAAGTTATTGAAAGCTATCAAGTACTAATCACATTTAAAATTTTACCGGATAGATTTCAAAACTGTTACATGTATGGCATGGTATGAATTTTCTACACTCACATGTTAACTTTGTCCCCAAATAAAGATGTATTTATCTGTCTCCTTCCCTTCCTTCACTGCTCTTAGAATTTCAATCCCGAGTCTGGTCTCAAAAATAAGCCAGTTAAGAAAGGAAATATATTGGGTAGGTTTGGGTTTTGATGTCATGGAAAATCTGAATGAACTTTTTGGCCAACCCAATACAGAACAGAGATTTTATCTGTCTTAGTCATGTTTTCAGCTTTTGTTTGATACTCTTTCAAGCAAAATGATGCAATATTAAAATACTGTTCTATAATTTTAACAACTGGAAACTAACACAATGAAATTCAATATTTTGGATTTTCGCATATAGATAACTATGCAAATTTCTTATTCAGTAAAAAACTAGGTTACAGAAACATTCTATTACTTGTATAAATTATAGTCAATGGAAAGGAATTAGTCTTCTTTTTCACTCTGTAGGAAACTTACTTGAACTTTTTATCCTGGTATATACATGTTGTATTTGATCTTCTCATTTAAACAATATTAAACAAAAACTAATTATTGTGTTTTGAATTACTGTACTAACACCAGAATAAAAATTAAAAGACAGCAAGGAACACTGTCCAGATTTTAATATCAGTGCAGCAAGAGAGCTTTAATCTCTGTGTGACCTTGATCCTTGTGAGCTAAACATGAACAAAAGACCAGAATCTACTAGACTCAAATAGAGAACAGCTACACAACTCAAAAGAATAGCACCTAGCAGCTCCACACAGGTAGAGCTGAAATGCCCATTTTGTTCAAATTGTTGTACAAACAGATGTATCTCATGATATGAATGAGTATTTTTTTCCATGAAAAATGTTTACTCTCTTGAAATATTAAGACATAATTATTGGTGATATTTTAGTTATGCAAGACTTCCAAATCTAGACAGCCAATGCTACCACCATGCTGGCAATTGCTCAAAGAAGTGCCACTGCTGGTAAAATTGCTACAGTTCATAATGTAGTCATCCATACATTTAAAAAATAAGACCAAACAGCTTTCTAGTTCCACCAAGCTGGTCTCTTTACTAACATTTCTGCCAAGGCCAATTCCCTTTTTTTTATAAAATTCAATGGTTGCTCATGATTAAAAAAACAAACAAATGGCAAATTAGGAATAGAAAGCAATTTCCTTACTTTCATAAGAAAACTAAAAAGCCTATAGAAAAAAATCTATAAAAATAAGGTATAAAAATTGCTCTTTCAGATAACAAGACTTATTCTAAAACTATAGCAATTAACATAGTTTGGTGTTAACACAAGGATAAACAGACCAAATGCAACAAAATAGATTCCAAACAAACCCACGCTTATAAGATGCTTGATTTGTGATCCAAGAAACAAGGTAGTGGGGAAAAGTGCTGAGTGAACTGGATATCCATACAGAAAAAAACGGCAGACTGTAGATGTAATGTGAAAGGCAAAGGAATAAAGCTGCCAGAATGTAGAAAAATATCTTAATGCTTTTGGCATGGGAAAAGTTTTCTTAAACAGGACGCTAAAAAATTAACCATAGACTAAAGTAAAACTAGGAACTTCTGTTTTCCAAAAGACACAGCTAAGAGAGTTTTGTAAAAGACAAGCTACAGAGAAGACAGTATCTGTAATACACGTGATCAAACAGAAGAGCACATATCCAGAGTTTTTTTTTTCTTCATAAAACTCATACAAATGAATCTTAAAAAAAAAAAGCGACTCAAGAGCGAGGGAAAGAAGAAACAAAACAAAGAAATGGGCAAGAGACCTGGACAATAAGCAAAGATGGCTTAGTACCCAAAAAACTATGATAAACTGCTGAATCTCATTGTGTGTGTTAGTTGCTCAGTCGTGTCCGACTCTTTGCGACCCCACAGACTGCAGCCTGCCAGGGATCCTCCAGGCAAGAATACCGGAATGGGTTGCCATTCCCTTCTCCAGAGAACCTTTCTGACCCAGGGATCAAACCCTGGTCTCCTGCATTGCAGGCAAATTATTTATGGTTTGAGCTGAATCTCATTAGTAATGAAATTAAAAGCACAATGAAACACCATGACCTACTGATCAGAATGGCCAAAACTAAAAACACTACTCATTACCATGTGTTGCCAATGATGTGATACAAGTAGAATATTTATACACTGCTGGTAGAAATGCAAGGTTGTACAACTACTTTTAAGAATTACTTGACAATTTCTAGTATAGTAAAATATGCACTTACCCTATGACCCAGCAATTTCACTTGGGTATATATCAAAGAGAAATTATTGCACATGTCTACCAAAAGACAGGCATCAAATACACACAGCAGCTTTATTCATAAAGTCTCAATCTGGAGTCAACACAAACGTCTCATGACAGAAGAATATGTATGTATACACACATACATCTCTCTACATATTTTATACAGATGCACATAAACGTATGAGTGTGTGAGTGCTAAGTCGCTTTAGTTGTGTCTGACTCTTCGCAACCCTATGGACAGTAGCTCGCCAGCATTCTCTGTCCATGGGGATTCTCCAGGCAAGAATACTGGAGTGGGTTGCCAAGCCCTCCTCCAGGGGATCTTCCCAACCCAAGGATCGAACCTGCGTCTCTTATGTCTCCTGAAATCGTAGGTGGCTTACCACTAGTGCCACCTGGAAGCCCATATAAATGTATATGTACATATACGGGCTTCCCAGGTGGCGCTAGTGGTATAAGAACTCACCTGTCAATGCAGAAGATGTAAGAGAGGTAGGTTCGAACCCTGGGATGGAAAGATCCTCTAGAGGAGGGCATGGCAACCCACTCCGGTGTTCTTGCCTGGAGAAACCCCTGGACAGAGGCTTTGGTGGACTACCGTCCAAAGGGTCACAGAGTCAGACACGACTGAAGCAACTCAGCACGCGTACATACATAAACTTTTTCCACACAGTAGCACAGGCAAAGCTATACTATAGTTTTAGGATTATCAGCAAAGCGTTGGACATTAGAATAGTAGTTATGTTTAGAAAAGAGAGATGTTGTAGTCACTGGGATGGGGCAGGAAGGGGGCTTCTAAGAACTTTTAATGTCTTTTAAGGATTTAAAAATACCTATTTATATTTTTGCTGTGCTGGGGCTTCACTGCTGCACACGGGCTTTCTTTAGTTGTGGCAAATGCAGGCTACTCTCTAGCTGCGGTGCGTGGATTTCTTACTGTGCGGCTTCTCTTGTTGCATGGGGTCTGGGGCGAGTGGGCTTCAGCAGCTGAGGCATGTAGGTTCAGTAGTTGCGGCTCATGGGCTCTGGAGCGTGGGCTCAGTAGTTCTGTCGCGAGGGCTTAGCTGCCCCATGCCATGTGGAATCTTCCCAGACCAGGGATCGAACAGGTGATCCCTCACCACAAGGTGGGTTCTTAACAACTGGACCACCAGGGCAGCCCCTCTATTTCTTGACTAGACTGGGAGCTGCATGGATGTTTGTTTTGTGATAGTTCATTAAGTTGTAAACTTATACTTTCTTCACTTTCCTTTATTTGCATGATACTTTATGAGAAAAAAGTTTCAGTATAAATAAAAGGTACCACGGGATGACTGATAGCCAGCTATACCCTAGCCCCAATATAGTGTGTGCCTTATTTGTTTAAATGACAACTGGAGACCCAATTCAACTTTTCAGCTTCCTCTAGGAAATGTGGGCAAGCCAGACCACAATCCAGGAGGAGCCACTCGCATCAGATACAACGTTAGTGGCATCCATTCGAGAAGACTTGGCAACATTCTATTACGGGACCAAGAGGTGGTGGTGTTTGGAACAGAGGATTAGCAAGAGATGGCACTTCCAGTTTCCATTTCTTGCCTCCCAGTAACAAAGCCACAGGAGGCATAGAAAAAAGCTATTCCCATCACCAGAGCAGTAAGGCCTTCCCAGAAGCTTGGCTCACATCCAAGACAGCCTGGGAAGCCCACGGCCTCGAGGTCCTGAGATGAGCACACTGGAGCCGTGTCTCCTCAGACACTGGCAGCCGTACCTGAAACCCAACACCTCACTGTGGATGAGAAAAGAGCGGCAGAAGACAGGAAGACGCTTTGCCTTTTCTGGGACTTCCCTGCAGTCTCTTCAACGCCTCTATCACCAGCCTAGTTTATTCATACCCACTAAATATTTTATTCTACATGCCACGCATTGCTCTAAACACCAAAAACCAAAAGAGACACAGTCTCAGCCAAGCTTAGGAATTAATGTACAAAAATTTATTACATAAATGGCAACAAATACTGTTTAGAAATAACAAAAAGGTGTCAGGATAGAGAATAAAAGAAAGGGCCCTATTAATAGGGTTTGAACACTGAGTCTGAGCTAGAGACTCATTTTGTATGGCTAAAAATAGTAATTTGTCTAGATGGGATAAAGTGACCTCAGGTCCTTCACATGCCGTTTACTGCATAACCCCTTGTTTTACCCAGATGGTGGTTGTTTTCAATGGGTCAATTAAAAGCTGTATTTTTTATTGCTGTAATGACTGGTGGGTGGCGACGGCAGCAGCACTTGATAGGTGAGGACTAGGGATGCCAGACGTTCTGTGATGTGCCCAGGGCAGTGCAGTGAGGAGCTGTCCTACGGTCTGCCTGAGTTCCGGACATCTGCCAGATGCTCAAGTGGGTGACCTTCTGTTTAGAATTACTTTAGGCTAGGACGGGCTTCCCTTGTGGCTCAGCTGGTAAAGAAAATCCTCCTGCAATGCAGGAGACCTGGGTTCGATCCCTGGGTTGGGAAGATCCGCCGGAGAAGGGAAAGGCTGCCCACTCCAGTATTCTGGCCTGGAGAATTCCATGGCTTGTATAGTCCGTGGGGTCGCAAAGAGTCAGACACAACTGAGCAACATTCACTTCATTTAGGCTAGAATCTAAGTCCATTTTCCACTTAAATACAGAATTTTTTGTACAGTCTTGTTGTTTATTTGCTAAGTTGCGTCTGACTCTTCTGTGACCCCATGGACTGTAGCCCACCTGCCGACTCTGTCCATGGGATTTCCCAGGCAAGAACACTGGAGAGAGTTGCCTTTCCTTCTCCAGGGAATCTTCCAGACCCAGGGATCAAACCTGCGTCTCCTGCACTGCAGGCAGATTCTTTACCACTGAGCCACCGGGGAAGCCCCCAAATATTCTTCAGTTGCTCCCGAAGGAGATACTGAACTTTCCAATACTGAGTCATGAACACAACACACCTGTCAGTCTGCATTTGACTTGTGGCATTCACAGTGATTGATGTGTAAGTATCTGATATATATACGTATCTGATTACCTCACAAAGACTTTCAGTGCAGTAATATCTGTGCATTTACATACTGATGGAACTATTTTACTATAAATTACCTTTATTTCTTCTTTATAGTCCATTTACTATAGTATATTGATTTTTTTTTAATGTGTAGGTAGGGGAGAAAAACTCTGAGTTTTATTTCAGCATAATAAAGAAGGCATTACAAAATACTGGTTATAGGTCTTAGGATTAAGTCTCAGGGCTGAGAACACAGGTCCTAGTTCTCCATATGACACGAGTTTCTTAAGGATACAAGGTAGGTTTTATATTTATTTTCCCCTTGGTGCCTGCTGTGCAACTTAAACAGATGACAAACTATGCTGACTTAACAAAATCATACAGAAAAATCATGTCAATCAGCAAAACTCTCTGAGCGCTCATTTTCTGGGACTCCAGTGTTCAGTGAACTATAGGGAGGTCTCCTTTTCAGGGCCTAAAGAAAGTTGTTTAGTTTCTCAGATTCTCAGATTTCAAGATTACAATGAGATGATTTTAACACACTAACATACTTCCTTAACGTAAGTAAGGTCGTAAATGATAGAATACAAAGTAGAGTTTTTAAAAATTCCAAAATGCTTCAGGGTAGTCCTGCCCATCAGTGTATGTTCAAGTGGTTCATTACCCTGGTCCTCTTGTAATATTCCCTACTCAAAGAACTGCACCGTCATGTAACAGTTTTAAAACCCAGAAACCTAGATCTTTTTTTAACAACTTCCTCTCTGTCCCCATCCAACCAATGAGTCTCACCAATTTTGCCACCTCACCATTCTTTTAACTATATACAAACTGACATATAATGTAGGATACTCTGGAAATCTCTGACATCCTCCTAGGCCTCTTTAATCTCACAAGCATTCTGGCTGAAGATTATGGTTGGGTTTCCATTAAGTGGGCATATGCTGTTATTCCATAATAATAATAATAATGATTTCAAGGCTAATTCAACATCTATTTTTTAAAAGACTCAAAATAAATTGGTTTATTTTTCTCTTCATTATGGTGCTTGATTAATCATGCAAGATACTAAGCCACATATAAACGTTAACAGGACAAGAGAAGCCATTATGAACAAGGAGAAGGTTGGTCTCTCTACTGGGGGAATATGTAATATACATTAAGACCACTCAACACAAAAACACAGGGAAGCAGATGTTAGACTGCCTAAAGCTACATTTAAAAAGATAACACTAAGCACGGGCAAAAAAACAAAACAGAACAGAAAGCTTACAAATAATTCAGGTGATGACATAATAATGTAGGTGAACTGACCGTATAAAAACCACAACTGCTGCATTATAAATAGCATAAGCACTATAAGAGTTGCTAGGAAACCATTTCATTTATCCACCCTTTCTTAAAGAAGTGAAAGAAGGGATGGTAGGAAAATTAAAGTGCACCTCAGTGAGTTCTCTTTATTTCCAGAGAAATAGCTTTTCTTTTGTTATATCTTTTTGCTTACTCCAAAAGCACAGAAGTATGATCAATTTTAACGTATTAAACCTAGGACATTTATTTCAACAGCTATGAGATAATTATATACACCAAAACCAAAACAACAACAATGACACGATGCAGGTAAAATCGAGCAAGAGAATTTCTCTGCTTTGTTTCACCTAGGACTAGGAAAAATGTCCTAAATCGTATCTATTGTATATGTGGTTTTTGCCAAGGGAGTTATTTGGAAGAATTCTGCACGTTAAAAAAATTGAGGTGGGAGGGGGGTTCCGGATGGGGAACACATGTAAATCCATGGCTGATTCATGTCAATGTATTGCAAAAACCACTACAATATTGTAAAGTAACTAGCCTCCAACTAATAAAAATAATTGGGAAAAAATACTGATTATAGGAAAAGTCAATTACTGCAATTCTTTACTGATAGGCATACCATATAAGCAACAATGTAATAAACAATTTCCAACCTCTTTAACCTAAAGAAATGTACTGACAATTAAAATCACTGGAAACATAAGAGACTTATTTTTAAATTCCAAATTCAGAGAAAGTTTCTTTAAATATTAGACATAAGGACTACATATGACGAGCTTCATACCATAAGGTTTTTCTTCTGTTACTTTCCCTGTAGAATCTAGCGTGTCAGTAGCCTTCCCCAGTTCCCCAATGGCAATATATCTCTAGAGGAAGAGACACAAGAGAGGGAAACAGGCCATAAGGTAAAGAACTGTTATGCATGTCTTAACGCTTATACAGAACCTTACTAATAAACCTAACTGATACAAAATAAAGGGCAAAATCAATAGACTGTAACTGCTTGGTTAGAGTTGATATGTGGGAAGCACTGTATAGATTGAGGAACATTCATAAACTTTCCAAACCAGCCAACATGACAAAGAAAAACCTGATTTTACTGATAATCATCCCTTATAAATACACAGTTGTTGTTGTTCAGTCACTAAGTTGTGTCCAACTCTTTGCTACCCCATGGACTGCAGCATGCCAGGCTTCCCTGTCCTTCACTATCTCCCGGAGTTTGCACAAACTCATGTCCATTGAGCTGGTGATGCCATTCAACACTGTACAAAAAGTTTTAAAAAATCAGTTATATGTGAGACAGCAAGAGAGACACAGATGTATAGAATAGTCTTTTGAAAAAAAAAAAGAATAGTCTTTTGGACTCTGGGAGAGGGCAAGGGTGGGATGATTTAGGAGAATGGCATTGAAACATGTATATTATCATATGTGAAACGAATCGCCAGTCCAGATTTGATACATGAGACAGGGTGCTCGGGGCTGCTGCACTGGGATGACCCAGAGGGATGGGATGGGGAGGGAGGTGAGAGGGGGGTTCAGGATGGGAAACACATGTACACCCATGGCGGATTCATGTCAATGTACGGCAAAACCACTACAATATTGTAAAGTAATTAGCCTCCAATTAAAATAAAATAAATTTATTTTAAAAAATTAAAAATTAAAAAAAATAAATTTTCTACTGGGCAGCGTAGATTGTGAAGGAAAAATTTTAAATATATCTAGGAGTAGAGATAATGGTACAATAATCCCCTACTTAACATCACAGGATTCAATAATCTGTTGTTTTTGTTCAGTTGCTAAGTTGTGTCCGACTCTGTGACCCCATGGACTGCAATAATTTTATTCCACATGCAATTAAAATTAATTTTTAATTATCATTTCTTATATGAAATGCCAAGCTCAGTCTTAGGAACTTGATTATGCATTTAAACAAAAGCTAAAAACATAAAAACTAGTATAGCAGAGATAATGTACATATGTGTTTCTTGTAAGGAGAAATAGCTATGTCTTAAGCTCTCTGAAAGGATAAACGTCACTTCTCAGAACTACTCATTACTCTCAAGTGAAGAATTAGATCACTCCTAGTTAACTGAGGATTGTTCTGCTATCTTGGGTCACACTGTACTACATATTCTTTATTCTCTTCTCGTTTGGTCAAATTCAAATTTCATTTTGAGGATCACAGGAATTAGCAAGAAAAATGCAAGGAACAGAATTCTCACTTAAAAGAATCAGCAGTTATGTGAGCAATTTAAGATGGAGTACTTTGCAGAAATATGAGTTTATTAATGATAAGCTTATTATGCTACCACACCGAAACATGGTTTTGAATATCTTCATTAACAAGGAACAGCTCTATACAGCGCATGAAATGTTAAGTCCTTCAAAATTTTCAATATAGTACTTATGAAATATAATGAATATTAATAGAGTGTAAAGAAAAGGTACAAATTGGACGAACCTCTGGAGAAAGTGGATTAGAGATGCTCCAATCTTAAGAGAGCTGCTGCTAAGTTTCACAGGAGGAGCTTTATTAAAGTCACACTTTGCAGTTGACACTGATTAGGTAACCTAAAAATGCTTGTGTACACCTGGGGGAAATTACTGTCCTCTGAACATATCTGAACACATCTGGGGGAAACATCTGTATACCCCAGTGATGATACCCATTCAATGGTTGGAGGGGATAAAAAGCTGCTTTCTGATGAAATGCTGACTTTGCCTACAGGCACTATGGTTTATCTCCACATATGCGAGTAGCATTGTACCTGGAAAATGCTAGTTAAGAGCATTTTCATGGCACTAGCAATCTCATAACAGAACATCAACCCTTCCATGGCTCATCTGGTTTCAAAAGCACATATAAATAACCAACTTTTAATCAGCAATATAGGAAGCTAATAAAGATAACACTCGAAAACCTCATCAAAGCCTGTTACTTCAAAGTACATCTGCCATCCAGATTCTCCTGAATGACTGGCTCAAAGAAAGTGTAATTTAGGGAAGACAGTAAAGGGACTGTGAATCTATTACTTTCTTCTGGGTAAGCTATATTCCATACTTAGATCAAGTTAAGTCAAAGGGATGTGTTCACCTAACTCCCTTAGAATCATTCTACCTGTTGTATTTCATGCAGAGTCACTTATACACATGTTGTAGAACTATTTTTGAGAACCACTATCATTCAATCTCCCTTACTGTAAAAAATTTCTTTCTGACTTTAATACCCAGAGTTAAGTCTCTTCCTTAAATAACCAGCATGCTTCCTCTTTCTCATCAATGTCATGTTTTTGCCTAGGCCATCAAAAAGTCAAGAGATAGAAATAAAAGGAATGAAATTAACTGCATTCAAGCTTTCCAACAGAAATTGCTTGAATAAAATTAATGTCTAGGCACTGATAGTCAGAGCGATCCAACAGGCCTGTAACTCAGGAGAGAGAGATTTGGGGATAAATGAAACACGTGGAAACAGTAATAACAGTATTTACTGAGCAACTTTTGTATAACAGGCACTGTACAGAAAACCTATGTGCTTTTTTTACATAATACACTCAGAATTCCAAAAGAGAATGCAGCGAGAAAAAAATGACTCAAGATAAAGTTGATCATTGGCAGAGCAAAGCCTGACAGACAGGAGAGGAAGCTAATGATAAAGACAAGGAAAGGCTCTTTTCTCAAACCTTGCTCTGATCTGACCGGGCAGGAATGCACATAAGGACTGGTGGTGGTGGTGCTGTAGTTGCTAAGTCGCATCTGACTCCTGCCACCCCATGGACTGTAGCCCATCAGCCTCCTCTGTCCGTGGGATTTCCCAGGCCAGAATACTGGAGTGGGTCGCCATTTCCTTCTCCAGGGGATCTCCCAACCCAGGGATCGAACCCAGGTCTCCTGCATTGCAGGTGGATTCTTTACCAGCTGAGCCACAAGTACATAATCTAAAATTAAAAGCGTAAGAAATACAAACAGCTACCAAGATAATAATAACTCTTATTTTGCAAAAGTGAAGTACCCAAGAACTAGGTCTCTATAATAAGAAGCACCTGGAGTTTTCTACTTATATTACAGTCATCTGAAGATCAGTGATTTCACTGTATGACATTCAGCTTTCCTAGCTGAATACCAAAATGATTTGTGATAAATAAAATTTAAACAAGAGCCAATGATGTATACATTTTTCCAGTCATCATACTTCTGGAAATGTGTCTGGAATTTACATGTAAAACCTTTTAAAAACATATAATGTGTTACATGTACTTACGGGTTTTTTTGGGGGGGATGGATAATGAACATTTCAGTGAAATTAACATTTTATCTTGGTGGGGAAAACAAACAAACAAATGCTTTAATGTAAAATATATCTTTTGTTTTATTAAAAAGTGAGTTTTCATTGTAAAGATTTTGAAGAATACCAAATAGTATGAAAAAAGAAAATAAAATCATCCATAATCTTGTATCAAAATAACCATGGTTTATATTTTAGAATTAAACATATATTAAGCAATTAGAAAATTCTGTACCAGAAACAGATTCTAACCTCTACGTGTCAGTATTTAAATACACTGTACAAATTACTGTACAATGTCAAACTCCTCCATTCTAACACAATTGTTATATTCTGTGATTTTGGAAATTCTTCCACTTATCTAAGGTATGAAGATCCTTCCCAACTGAAAGACAGGTTTTTATGCCAACTAATAACTAAAATGGGATGTTAAAGGCAATAGGCTTTCCAGGGCTTTTCATTTTAAGAAAAACTTACTTAGACCCCTGGCCCTCAACAGTCTGGCCCAAGGGCCAGTAACCACCATGAGATAAGTTCAGAAAATGAAGGTGCTTAGAAACTTACTTAGCAATTTGATATTAATTATATTTTTAATAAAAGTCTGCAGTGAAATGGTAAGTTTTTTAAATGGTCTTTGACCACAGTTTCTTTTCTAAGGAAAAATTTGGACAGAAAGCACTTTACCAACTATTTATAACCCACTTGCAACAAGGGTTTTAAAGCAAACAAAAAGTTTAATCCAGGAACTTGCTGAAATTCTCCCCTTTCCTAATGGCATATTAATCTTCCTTCCACATTTTCCACATTTCCTATCTTCCCCATTTTCACTGGTCCCAAGTCCAAGCTATTATAACCAGCATCTAGCTGCTAATTAGGATATAGATATTATTATCTCTTTTAAAGATGGAAGAGGCCCAGACAGGTAAAACACTGACATCTAGACTTGTCTTAGGGCTCCTTCGACCTTGCCAGTTCAGTGACGGTTCTCACTCAAGGCCTAAAGCCCAGGTTTAGAACCTGTCCTGTCCCTGCTTAATCCCTCCTCCCTCTCCTATTCAAAGCCTTAAAGATGCTTTCGGATGCAGTCAAGGAATGATGTAACATCATCTTTAAGAAGCCCCATTCTTTTAGTTAGTAAACATTTTGTAAACACTGAACAAAACATGTCTTTTGTTGGAAACTGCATGGCTTAAAAAATGATATTGTTTCTACAAAAATTCTAAGGTTTAAAAAAAAATCTTCTAACAGAATTTATGATCTGTAAGTTTTCTTTAAGAAATATACAAACAAAAAGAAACATACAAAAAAAACCCTCACAAAAACTAAACACATCTATTTTTAAATTATAGGTACCACAAAATTTTTGCTTTGATAAATCAAATTTACTTTTCAATTATGAATTTAGTCTCAATATTTTGAATCTCAAATATCATGATTATAGACACTGTGATAAATACCCAGGGTTGACACTCATTCAAGCAAGTTATACAGCTTATTTTTTAACTGATAAAATCCAACACAGAGGTCATTAAGAAAACATTCAAGAAAAACAGAACCATTCCAGTATTCTTACCTTGGACCCTGATAACATACTGGTCAACATTTTTGTTCCCCTTCCAATTCCAACCACTACAAATCAAAGAAAGAGATATTATGACACCGTATTGTGAAAGCTAGGCTTTAAAAATATGCTTTATGACATACATTGGGCACAATTTCCTGGCATATGTAAAGTTAGAAAAAGCATTTATTTAGCATAATGTCAGGGCTCCTATGACTCCATGCAAGTAAGAACTTGTCATGAACTTATTGACAAGTTGAACTTGTCATGCAAGTAAGAAATTCTGAAGTGGGGGTGGGGGAGAGACTTTCTTTCTTTCTCTAAGTGTGAAACATAATATTAGAAACCTCAATCCAGACAATTAGATAACAAAAAGTTTTGAAAAAATCTCCAAGGACTCACTGGAATTTTTTATGGGCATCAGTGAACAAAAATTGTTCCGTTTATTTTTGTTTTGTTAAGTTTTTTGCCGGGTTCCCTTTTTAACCAAGGCAAAGGTTTTCTTCTTACTTATTGACCGTTTAAAGATGATTTGTGTCCAGCAGAATACAATCAAGAAAATAGAAACATAACAAATCAACCAGACACAAAGAATAATACAGGGTAAAATGTGAGTCTGGAGAGTATATGTTTGCATGGACCAAATAAAAAGTACAATGGCCCACATATCTCCTCAGTTTCAAACATTATTCTTGTAACAAAACATTTCACCAGCCAAAGATGAGAGGATGTAATCATTTCTTCGCTTAACAGCAAGCAAAGTTTCATAAGAATGGAAGTATTTCTTATTAGTGGATACAATTTTGTAAAAGCACACACAATACAACTGTCGCAATTCAGAATTATAAGAAACAAAGAGAAATGACTGGCAAGTTGAATGAATTATCATGAATATTTATAGCAGATATGATCCACTGAGTTTACCATGTATCAAATTCTACTCTAAGTGCTTTCCATTCATTAGCTCATTTAATCCTTAAAACAAGATGATATGATTATCCCTTTATGATAGCTGAGGAAACTGAGGCATAAGAGTCTAAGAACTCTGTCCGGTATCTCACAACCAGTAAATGCTGGAATTAAAATTCCAACCAGACTACCAGCAGACCTCCTTCCTCTCATCCCCCTGCCAACTTACTCATCCAGGCTTTCCTCTCACTGCCACCAGCCCAAATCAACCTCCCTGTTCTATATCCTATCTCTTCTTCTTCCAATTCATACCATTTCATAACCATTTCCGAAAACTCCACAGCACAAAGCTCCTAAACAATCCTCAATAGGGTCCCAATGCCTACAGCACCAACTTCTTGGTAAAGTATTCAAAGTCCGTCCTTTGAAACACAGCTCACATCCCCATTCCTTCATAAAGTCTATCCCGAAGCCCCTCTCAGCTTCTCTGATAGTCACAGTGGTTCAAGGGCTAACAAACACTCTCTGCCTTCGGGATCCTCTGTTGAGCTCAAATGAGAGCACCCGCTGCTGAGGCAAAAACTTTGTACAATAATAACAAAGATTCAATTCAATTTCATTCCATTCAAGAAACCCCAATCAATATTTTGCAAGCAGCTACCAGGAACTCCATCCCAAGAACACTTTAATGGAATAGCACATATCCTGACTTTGAAAGGGCCTATAATCTCGTGGGCAAAATACAATACAGAGGAGGGAAACTGCAAGTGCTCAAAAAAAGAAAAAAAAGCTTGCCTGAATTAATGAGAGAATAACATTAAATAACAATACAATAATACATGATTGTGTCAAAATGAACACACAGATGATAACTACTGTAGCAGGTTACTCTACATGGCAGCAGAGTCCAGAGAATGCTTCATTGAGGCACTCAGAGTTAGGCCTTAAAGAATGTACAGGATTTGAACATGCAGACGAGAGAAGTGTGTTCTAAAGAAGGAACAAATTGACAGATTCTCAGACACAAGGGTGAGCACAGTGGGTTTATCAGCCAGAGTGCAGGGTGTCTTAAGAGCAGGTTGGTGTGTCTGATTCTATCATAGTTAAAAGGCTGGGTGGATGACCATTTCTCTGCTGCTTCAGTGATCCACAGTGAAACAAGAAGGCATCTTAGAGTAACCCAGCTTGGACATGTATAGTCTCCTCTGTCACGGGCTCAGTTGTTTCTGGCTCTTTACAACCTGGCTAGGCTCCTCTGTCCATGGGGATTCTCCAGGCAAGAGAATCCTGGAGTGGCTTGCCACTTCCTCCTCCAGGGGATCTGCCCAACCCAGGGACTGAACCCACATCTACTGTGTCTCCTGAACTGTAGGTGAATTCTTTACCCGCTGAGCTACTGGGAAAGCCCAGAGTATATATAAAATAGCTCAATTTAAAAAAATCTGCATAGACAAAAAGCTAGGGAGAAATACAACCACAATGTTGACAAAAATTATTGTTGGAAGGTGGAAAATGGATAAGTTTTACTTTACACTTTATGTTTTCTTGTATTTTCTAACTTTTTTCACCATAATTTTCTAAGTTTTAAAGTTAAACTGCAAAATAGTATATCAACACTTAGTTCCATTTTAAGTAATTTATACTGAATATCATCTTCCTTCTGCTTGCGCAACAGATTACCAACACAGTGGTTTAAAACAACACAATCTTATTATCCTACAGTTTTGGAGGTCAGAAATCTGAGGTGACTTTTACTACGGTACAAATCAAGGGGTCAAGGCACTGCCTTCTTTTCTAGAGGCCTGAGGGGAGAACCTTTATCTAGAGGCTTCCCAGGGGAGGTTCCTTGCCTCTTCCAGTCTCTGGAGGCTCTTTACCTTCCTCGGCCCAGGGCCCCCTTCCTCATCAAGGCCAGCAGCCGCATCACTGCGACCTCTGCTTCCATCGCCACATCTTCTCTGACACGCTTCTGCCTTCTCTTCCGATTTAGAGACCCTTGTGATTACGCTGGATCCACCAGGATATGCCAGGATGTCTCTTAAAGTCAACTGATCAACAACATTAATTCCATGTGCAACTGTTACGCATCCTTGTTATGTAATCTAACATATTCATAGGTTCTGGAGACTGGGACATGGACATCTTCAGCGAAGTCATTATTCTGCTTACCACAGAGTTTTTCAGAATTTTGTAAGCCCTCTTTATAAAATTATATATGCTTTATATATATGTATTATATGTAATAATTATTTAACATTTGAAAACATTTTATAACTATTTCTAGTACTTATATAAAATATAGGCTAATAGAATTATAAACCTGAATTTCAGATTATATTTTAAATTGTCAGCTAAACTCTTAAATCTTTACCATCAATATTTCCCCCTCAAAACAGCAAAAATAGCCTAAAATGTTGAAAGTAAAAGTATATTTCTCCACTAGGTCCAGTTTTGTTAAAAACAACAACAGTAATACAAAAAGCCCTTTCACAAAGCTCTTCACAGGGTAGAGTATATATCAGTATACTACAGACACTTCCTGCTGCTGCTGCTGTTAAGTCACTTCAGTCGTGCCTGACTGTGTGACCCCATAGACAGAAGCCCACCAGGCTCCTCCGTCCATGGGATTTTCCAGGCAAGAGTACTAGAGTGCGGTGCCATTGCCTTCTCTGAGACATTTCCTAAGATATTCCAATAAACCTTCTGAGAATTACAGTAGATGTTATCACTTTTTAAGAGATAAACTGAAATTCTGGGAGGTTATAGGATTTGCTCAGGTGTACGTACTTAGTAAATAAAGTAGCCAGTATACAACCCATGATGATTACAGCCCAGTGTTCATTTCACCATACTCCAAAAATCAACTTTGCTTAACAGTCTATAGAATTTAGACAACAAACTTCCCTTATTCTGTGACTAAATATCTACTTTTTAAAAAACTATTTCTCAATAGAAATCACAGTTATTAGGAAAAAAATTAATAATTTTGACATACGAACACACTATATCATATTGAAGGACATGTGTGATTAAATATAAATTAACCCTCTAAATAGAAAATTACTTCCAACGCAATTTCTTCCACTCACACAAATCTCTGCCAAATGCCACCCCTTCACAATACTAAAATGGAAGCTTTCAACAAGATCCCTTAGATTTAGGGTAAAAAATAAACTTCTTGACTCAGTGCCTTGAATATCACTATTTTCTGCATGCCAATGAATAACAACAGTCATAAATTAATACAATTGGTCTATTCAGAAATAAACGCACAATTTATCCCCGTTCTTCTTGGACTTACGTTCTTGTGCTTTAGAAAGGGGCTTCCCATGTGGCTCGGTGGTAACAAATCCACCTGCCAGTGCAGGAGACACGGAAGACATGGGTTCAATCCCTGGGTCAGGAAGATCCCCTGGAGGAGAAAATGACAATCCACTCCAGTATTCCTGCCTGGAGAATCCCACGGACAGAGGAGCCTGGTGGGCTACAGTCCACAGGGTCGCAGTGAGACACCACTGAGCGACTGAGCACGCATGGACGCCTTAGAAAATGGAAGGTTGTAATAGGCTTCAACTTAAGAAGAGCTGAACTGACAAGAATCATGAGCCCACTTCTGGAAGGAATGGTAAAGAATGCTGTGATTGATTAGTAATTTCTGCTGTGGACATGGGGAACAAGGGCAGGAGTACCAGCTATTTGCCATCCTAGGTTAGGGCAGAGACTTTAACACTTAGCACGTCCAGGTTCAACTCTTGATCTCACCACTCACTAACTACAGGACCTCACACACAGTAAGTGCTCAATAAATGTTTATCAATTATTATGGTAAGAAACAGTAGTTAACGTGTCAGAATTTGCCTATTCAAGTTCTCTAACTCGGGAAAATGAATTTTCATGTGTTTTTTCCTGTTTTAACCTCAAGTAAAGATGTTTCTGCCAACATGCATCACATAAAATCTGTAATTTTAGAAAATGCAAATCATATACTGTTTCCAATTTTCTTGAAAAATATAATTTTATTCACCAATTTTATCCTTTTCTTCTAAATAAGCATTCATTTCCTTTGGCTGGCTTAGATCAGGTTTGTTTTTATTTGCATCTAATTTTAGCTCTAATAAAATGGATTGGAAGCTCTAGCACAGTATTTTTCAAAGCATGAGTCACATTCCATTAGGGCAGCATGAAATCAATTTAGGGGATTATGATCAACATTGTAAAAAAAATGGAATAGAGTAAAATAAAAAACACCAGGGCATGTAAAAAGGTAGGCTTGTTCCATAAAAGTCTGTTTCTAGTATGTGGGGCAGGGGGAAATAGGGAGAATTCTAAATGTGTATTTCTGTGACTATGGATACAGTTATAAAAAGGTGTCTAAAAACATACCCCATCCTGCGGATACACACTTTGGCAGTCTAGAAAGACAGACTTCAGCATCTCTGCATGTGTGCTAAATCATCTCAGTCGTGTCTGACTCTTTGCGACCCTATGACTGTTGCCCACCAGGCTCCTCTGTCCATGGGATTCTGCACTGGAATGGGCTGCCAATCCCTGCTCCAGAGGGTCTTCCCCACCCAGAGACTGAACCTGCATCTCCTGCAGATCTTGCATTGCAGGCAGATTCTTTACCACAGAGCCACTGAGGTGTTCCCTCAGAACCTCTACTAGATGCAAAAAAAAACCCCAAACAAATTAAAAAGGTGGGAGAAAAAAAGACAAATGACTCTTCTTCCCTCAATCAATTCTATCAATCTTCCTCCACATGCAGTAAGACACTTAACTAATGTCCCCAAGAGAAAGTGACTTCCTCTGAGGAACTACAAGTTTCATCTTCTGAAGATACAGTCAAAAAACCAAAAAGAGTCATATACTGTGTCAGGAGTCCCTAAGACTATCCCACGCTGAAAGATTCATCCATGGTTAATATTTACCTACAGTGACATCCTAAGGTTACACAGCTGGATCCTCTATCCTTCCATAATCGAAAAAGGAATAACATGTGTACAATGTTCCTGCTCAAGGGAGCCCATTGGAAACCCAGCATCCAAAGTTTTTATTGGAGGGGATGAGAGGAATGGTTATCCAGGCACCCTCTCACTGCCTGGTGGGACAAAAACTGCAGATTCCAAGGTGGAGAGCAGGTGTCCAGCATAAATCACACTGCTTACACAAACCACTGAGGCACACCAAACCGCGCTTATCGGATGGGGAAGGGTGGGTTCAACCCCAAACCCAGGTCCCCAAATGCAGGCAGGCCTTCAGAAAGATAGTGAACTCAGGCTTGCTGTGTTAACTCTTTTCTGCACAGATACATACCCTTTCTCAAGGTCCATCCACACTCCACACATGAAAGTGGCTATTTCTAATAGCCTTCTATACCTTGTAGAAGGGCTTCTTGAGAAGATGGCACTGTAAATCTAGTAGATGTGAAATATTCCAAGTAGACTGAAAATAGCATAGCTTTAGTCAATTTTGTCTGTTTTTAATCAATATTTCTTTCTAATATAAGTGGCAGTTACATCAAATTTCCATTTGAATCTCTTACCCAGGACTCCTCGGGCTGCACTGTCTAGAGTCCCTCCATGCCCAATTTTCAAAGTCTGCTTTTTCCTCTTGGTCCATTCTGGAGAAGGCATTCCAGCTTCTTTAAGAGTAAATGGGATTTAAAAAAAAGAAGAAGTAATTACTGAGAGAAACAAAGTAGAATCTCCATTACCATAGGATGAGGCGGCGTGGATGGAATATTCAAAACAAATAAAAAGCATTGTACAAACTTTATATATTAAGATTATAAGAACTGACTCATTTGAAAAGACCATAATGCTGGGAAGATTGAAGGCAGAAGGAGAAGGGGACAACAGAGGATGAGATGGTTGGATGGTGTCACTGACTCGATGGACATGAGTTTGAGTAAGCTCTGGGAGCTGGTGATGGACAGGGAAGCCTGGCGTGCTGCAGTCCATGGGGTCGCAAAGAGTCGGACACGACTGAGTGACTGAACTGATTACAACATTACTGAAGAACAGACTTTAAATATACAGACACTACCTAAATTACAAAGAAACAGTATTCCCAGGTTAGTTGTCGAAAAACTAGAACCCATTTTCTAAGGGAAAAAAAATTTTTTTAAGTGGGTAAATATCCACACTAATCCACAAAGATCCAGTAAATTCCTGGCAGTAGTGGGCTGGTAGATGGAGGATGATGAAAAGAAGTTTTTACATAGGCAGCTAGTTTTAAAAGTCCTCAATTCCATCTCTAAAATCTCTCTTGTTCCCTGGTGTTCTCTGCTGGTCACTCCAGCTACCTAAACATCTGGAGTATATCTCATACAGGGTTACTTCTGAGAATACTAAGTCCCCAGACTATCTGTATATCTGCCCTCCTCTCCTAATCAAAAGTCACCAATTCCTTAAGAAGCTAATCTCAACAAAAGGTTACATGGGAAGAAGGTAACAGTTTAAGATGCCACTTATATGCCAAAGCATTTAGATTTTAAAAAGAGAAAAGGAAAAAAAACAAAAGATGCTAGCCTGGCCTATCTCATATTCCTATTGTAAAGAATAAAATCAAATAATGCTACCTGAACGTGCTTTGGAAACTCAAAGCTCTATACCAATATGCTGTTATCATCATCATCATCATGGTAAATAACAAGATATTGAGAGAATACTGGCCACCAGACTTCAAATGAGCATGGAGAAAGAAGCAGGAAGAGCTGTCTTGATCTGTACCTTTCCAAACCCATAAAACCTTCCTTACTTGCCAGGTGGCACTAGTGGTAAAGAACTCACCTGCCAATGCAGGAGATGTAAAAGACCAGGGTTCGATCCCTGGGTTGGGAAGATCCACTAGAGAAGGAAATGGCTACCCACTCCAGCATTCTTGCCTGGAAAACCTATGGACAGAGGAGCCTGGTGGGCTACAGTCCATAGGGTTGTGAAGAGTCCAACATAACTGAAGCAACTGAGCATGCATGCATTACCCCTGACACAGAGAAGACGGAAAACAGAGTAAAAGAAGCCAGGTGAAAAGGCCAAAAGGATGCACTGGGTTGTAATCACCACTTAATTACCACCTTAGTGAGTTAGAACTCTGGTGTCTGGGACACGATCCTAATGTTACTCTCTGATTACAACATCACCATGTTTGGAAAGACATGAGGATATGCTTTAACGTGAACCTGTAAGGTTAGGCTTAGACTTCAAACCCTTCCCGTTCACCTGTAACCCATTATGGCTCTTTCATACTATACTTATAGAAACATTTTGGGAACTCTTTGCATTTTTAACTTAAAGGTGCTTGGAGAATGGAGGCCCTAAAGTTTACTGTCTTCCTTTTGTGCTTTTCCCTTTTTCCAAGTTTGAAGACACCTGGCCTCTACTATGTTGGAATCTGGTTCACCCCACTGGCATCATGGATGATGAATATTTACTAAGATCTTTTCTAGCTATAACATTCTGCTATGTTTTAGGCCTTGAAGGATTCAAAAAGACAGAAGAGCAGAGATTTTAGTGCCAGATGAATCAATGTAAGGAAAGGCAAGGAATATTAATAGATGCCGTGACAACTGACTGTGGCCTAAATCAGAGATTGTCAAACCTGGCTGGCATTAGAATGTTGCGTTCTGGAATCTGTATCTTTAAGAGAACCTTCCAGGTAAATTCTGACAACGAGTCAGAATAGCATTTAGAAAGCCCTGGTCTAGCTAACATAAATATAGAATCAGCCAATCACAAGCAATATAGAAATGGAGAATGATGAGAATGTCTACTTCTGAGTGAGTGGCTTCCAGAAGACAGTTCAGCAACAGTGTGGAAACCATCAATTTTAACTAAGTTTCAACAAGAAATTTCAGTTCCTGGAGATCAATTAGCCAGAAAGCCAGGCTATGGCTTTAATCCTATGAGAAACCCATCTGAAAGAACGAACAGAAATTATTACTTTGAGGAACAAAAATGCCATAGCTTAGCTAACAAATAAGGCCAAAGGAAAGCAATTCTATGAAGGAATCAACTCCATGATGACACCACAAAGCTTGTCCCTGATGTAATTCCTTCCTTCAACATCCTTACAGGTAACAAAGTATAATGAAAGTATAACAAAAGAATGAGCAGATATAACACAGGTATTAAATATCTTCAGGAATTTACCAACAAACATCTGAACCTGTGTCAGTTTTAATTAACAAATTCCTACCAGAATACTTTGTTTTTGCAATAAAAAGGGAAGCAGTAACATTTGCCAGGGGACACTATTCAAAGAGGAAATTTCTTGTACTGATTTGATGGAAAAATAAGCCAGGGCCAGACTCTGGAGGGCCTTGAAAAGCTAGTTAAATAGTTTTTATCACCAAAGGCTACAGAAATTACTACTATGAGCTCAGTTAAGGAGGAGTCAGTGTCTTTCAGATCTGGCTTATTGCAGGTGTCAAAAAAAAAAACCTAAAAGTTCCTTGATTTCACTGTATGAAACAAACTACTGGATTGACAAACTGAGAGATCCTTTAGAATTTTCTAATATTCTCCCAGTGTATATAAAGAAACAAACAAACAAAAAGAATGCTCTTAGAAGTGACCAAGTTATAGTGTTCAACAAAATGTGGTCCATAGACTGCTTACACCAAAATCACCAGGAACAACAGTTTAAAGATGGAGTTTCCTAAAAACACCCCATACCCTCAGAATCACTATTTCTGAGAGGGTAAGGATTAGGCATCTGCATCTGTGCAAGGGACTTTAAATAATTCTTATGTCCACTCTGTGAAAAAACACTGTGTGAAGTCTTGGTTAAGTAACATCCACATTTCCAACATATTTTTAAGAAAGCAGCTTTGGAGTGTAGAGAGCCAGTGATTCATTTGGGTGTTCACTTACGTGAGCCAAACAAAAGGTTTCTGAGGGATTAGATTACAGAAAATTGGTCTGCATGTCCAAGAGCAGAGGTTTATTTGTGGGTGTGTAGATTTTATTTTTTCTTGTTTTTTTCCCTTGAGAACGACAACTGCCAACTAGGCTACAGGAGTTTACGTTAGGACAAGTCCTAGCCGGAGATGCTCCAGATTTCCGTCCAGAGCGTATACAGTGGTCGTTCTCCCTTTGCCTTCCTTTTATCACTTGAGCCTTGAAAGGGCAAAGGGCCTAGCGGCTCTGTGCGGCTTCCGCTCCCACGGCGACCGCGTGGCCTCCGCCTGGTCCCCCCCCGGCTGCAGTACCTGCCAGCAGCTTCTCCTTCAGCCGATTCAGCAACTCGGCTGAAGTGGGCCCTTTGGGCTTGTGCACAGCGAACACGCCGCTCAGCGACAGCAGCTTAGTAGCCAACGCGGGCTTGGAGACCGTGGCTTCGGATCCGGTCCTGGCCGCGGCCGCAAGCGCCGCGGCTGCAGCCATCGCTGAGGATGTGGGGGCCGTTGCTGCAGCTGTCCCTGCACTTTCGGGGACTGGGGCTGAGTCTGGTTTCAAAGAGGACGACAACACCACCGCCGCCGCCTCAGCAGCTGCCATGCTTTTGTAGTCCACACCGGTTTTGTAGCTTGGAGTCGCACGCTAATGACGCAACAAGCAGTGCGCCCGACATCCCTCCTACCTTTCCCTTGCTTCGAAGCTGCCCAGGTGGGTGGAATCGCAAGGGCTTGTGGGAATTGTAGTCTTTGCTTTCCTCGTGCTGGCTTAGAGTCGCTGACCCTTCTGAGAGCTCTGATGGAGTAGTTTTCCTTCTCTCATCCTGTTTGCTTGTTAAGTAGGGTTAGTTCGGTGCCGCAGGTGTAAGTCACAGTTTCCGAACCCAAACACCAAACCTATGTAGATTTTCGGCGAGAAATATCTTCACATCTCTCCCCTATCCCTTTTAAGAATTAAGAAGACCCAGCATCCAGGAACAGAAAATTTACTAATAAAATGCTGACTTCTGCTGCAGCTTGTGAAGAACTATGGTTCCCGTGGTTAACTGCTTTATTCAATGTATTGTGCTCTTGGATTCAGAATTCAGAATTAAAATACACCTAGACGTAAGCTCTATTAGAGCAAAGAATCTGTTTTACCTAGTTCAGTGTTGTATTTCGGTGCCTCACACAGAGTAGGCACTTAAATATTTGGGAACACTTAAATGGATACGAATTCTTCAAATTCCTAAAAGAAAACTCAAGGCCAAGCCAGTGCTAAATCTTGTGGGTTTATTTTGATGCCTGTAATGCAAGCCTTTCCACACCTTAAATCTCGCAACTCACATTCAATTCTTAAGAATTCTAAGACATTTAATAGTAATTCTTCTATGGATTGCGTTCTTTAGTAACACATTGCTTAGGCATTATTGCAGTTCATAAAATTAAACTTTCCTTTTGATTTGAGGCCTCTCGAAGTTATTCACTCCCAAACAAGATTCAGGAACACTGTTCTGATCCTGGTAGAAGGCAAAATGAAGAAAAATTCTTCATTTTACTTCCCCAGATACATTAAATGGTATTATGAGTATTGTGAAACAGACTAAGTTTGTGTTCACTGTTCTTAGAAAATTCCTTACAATCGCCCTTTCTCTACATCATCTTTTTTCCCATTAGTGTCTAGAATCTTAATGATGCCTCTTAGCTACTCAGAATCACCCATTATGGGATCCCATTTGAATTTGCCCCATTCCTTCAAGAACAGGGAAAAAAAAAAAACAATGTTTAAAATACAATAGTTATTTCTTCCTATATTTCCAACCCTCCCCTGCTTCAGTCAGATCACCAGACCCTCATTAAATCTTTGGGGTGCCCAACAATGTAAATGTACCTACTGCCACACAACTGTACACTTTTAAATAGTTAAATGGGAGATTTTATGATATATATTATACCAGAAAAAAAAAAAAAAGGAGAAAAAAACCCACTATCTGAGGAAGAGTGGAGAAAGAGGGAGAGTTTTTGTAGGGTGGAAAGCTGAAATTCCTAGAAGAAATTTACTTACTCTTGTGGTCTACTATAAAAACCTAAGCTAAATGAAAACATTGTATGCAGTCTACCTTGGATGCCAGAAAAGAAGAGAATTGTTCTGAAAATCAGAAGAGAGAAACTGAGATTGACAGTTCCCATAATTAGTGAACATCTGAGACTCCTTCAGGATTTTCCCTTTTTCAGAAAGGTTGCTTGACTTCAGATGGATGGCTACAACTTAGGGAGCAAATCATCCTTCGACCTTTGTAAAGTTTCTGTTCTCTCTTCTTGGCGTGTAAGCAGAGAGCCAGGGACTTTGAGAGAAAGTATAAAGCAGGCTTGTACAATGATGACGTGGAGATTAGAGAGCCTATACCAGTCGTCTAGACATCAGTAAGCTTCTCCAATTCTGTTGTGGCTCTAGGGTTGGGGGAGCAGAGGGAGGTCATAACTGGGGGTGAAAAATAACACTTTCATTTGAATTTTCCACAGGCCCAATGCAGGATCAGAGGTAATTTGATTCAAAGAAAACAACAAAATAAGTATTTCTTGTACATTTTATTTCCTGGATGCCAGGGAACAGTAGAGGGCCTCCCAGGTGGCAGTAGTGGTAAAGAACCTGCCTATCAGTGCCAGAGTCCTAAGAGACGCAGGTTCGATCCCTGGGTCAGGAAGATCCCCTGGAGAAGGGCATGGCAACCCACTCCAGTATTCTTGCCTGGAGAATCCCATGACAGAGGAGCCTGGCGGGCTACAGTCCATGGGGTCACACAGAGTTGGACACGACTGAAGTGACTTTGCATATGCAGGGAACAGGAGAATTAATTCAACTCTGTATCACGTCTTCATTCTTGTCATCAGAAGCACCAACTTCTAATTTTCTGAAGTAACCAGCAGCTCCCACTTTGGGTGAGCATTGCATTTATAAGTTATTTTAATATATGTGTGAGTTAGGATTCTTTATTTGAGAGTGACCAAAACTGATTCATTTCAGCTTGGAAATTATCAGAAGGATTTGTTTTGGAAAAGTTTATCAGAAGTGTACAGAATATTATGCAGAACCTTGGAGGTTCTTTTTGTCCCTCTCTCCCCACATTCTCCTTTCATGCTATTCTCTTGTATCTTTTTCGTTCTTCTCTTTTGCTTCTAACAGACTTCCCCCCGCCCCCACTCCTTACTGTACATTCTTGATTCAGACCATCCTGTTTTGATCCAATTCCCAAAATACCCTGGATGAAGCCACTTCTGGCCATCTACCAAACATAGCACTTCACTAATTTCATTCCTCAACTACAGCACTTTCCTTGCTGCTTTTCCTGCTTGCCTTTTCTCCATAGCATGCTTTATCTGACATACCAAATATTTACTTATTTTGCTTACTGTCTTATTTCCTCCATCAGGACATAAGCTCTGTGAGAAATGTTTGTATGTTTTATTCATTGCTGTATCTGCAGGACCTGAGCTAGTGTCAGATGTCGCACTCAATAAATAGTAGTTGAAGAAAGGAATGAATAAACATGACAGTTTCAGCAGAAACCGTGTAGATAGAGGAGAATTAGCACCAGTTCCCAGAGACACAAAAAATATGTATATTCCCACTGCAGCTTATCTCATGTGGCTTCAATTTTTAAATCTCCATTTTATATGTGTGGAACTGAAGCAAAGAAAAATAAGATTATCTAATGCTATATAAAACTTCAACTTTCTAGACAAGTTTCCATGCTGTCCTCACCTACCCATGTGCCTTGAAGGATTGTTAATTAACAGCAATTAAAAATTGACAAGACTTTCAGGTTTTATTCCAAATCTGTCCCTGGCTCTGACAGGGACATCAGAGTGGTTGCATCACTGGGGCACTTCTCTGGTTCTTGCTTTAAGCACAAATGCCTGAGAGAGCTATTCTTTACAAAAGTTTCTGTAGTTGTTGGTCATCTGTGCCACTTTCTATACAGATAGAATCATAGAAAATAGTACTTGATGAGGACGTACAGAGAATATAACCTGAGTCTTTCATTTTAAAATGTGCTCCTGAAAGCTCAAATCTATACCATGGACTTGACAAAAGCGTAGATTTTTGAAGTTTAGAGAAAAGATGGATGTGTTTCATTGCGTGAAATTTGAGAGAGCCGGAAACTCTCCAGAAAGAAACCCTTCTGTTTATTGCATCAAGAATTGTCTTAATAGGGAGGAATATGGTAAGATAATTAAAGAAACCAGTAGCACAAGGATCTCTACTGTGAGCCGAAGTAGATAAAAGAAATACATTGTGATTTCTTTAGAGCAGAACTTCTAAGAAAGTTTAAATAAGTATTTTAATTATTTTAATTTTGACTATACATCTCTTTGTAATTAGGAAAAACATGTAGCAATAAAATATTTTTTTAATTAGGCAAAGAATTCTTTTAAAAGGGTAGATAATAAAAGATGAATATGAGAAAGTACCACAAATATGTAGGAGTAAGGCCAGAAAAGTTTTACTGGGAACAGGAAGAAAATACCAGAGACAGGAAAATAAAATGGAACTTTTAAAGAAGATCAAGAAAGAGATATATTTACTGCTTGAGGCCAATAAATAATAAAGGTCAAGCAAAGCTTCTACTTGGCCTGTCTTCTCCATCGAGAATGATTTTTGGATGAAAACAAAGAGTAATCAGCTGATAGGAGGAGGAGGATGTCCATGGGGGACAGAAGGGTTGGAAGAGGACATCACCGTACTCATTGAAGTTAAATCTCCTAGTCCAGACAGTTACATCTAGGGGTGGGGAGAGAGGAGAGATATAAGAACTCACAAACAGTGTTGCTTAAGAGAACTAACTTTTGTTGAATACCTATGCTTTGTGCTGGTACTTTACATTTTCCTGGAGTTTCTATAGTAACTCTTCCAATTATGCTTGCGAAGAAAATACAGTGTAGGCTGGCTGCCAGAATTTCACTGCAAAGCAGGTATTATTATTTTACAGATGAGGAAAGTGAAACTAAATGAGGTTAGATAATTTCATTGAGGGTATATAGTTTGCATAAAGTGCATGTGCCAGGGGTCCCCAAGACCAGTCTTAGACTGGATTTGCTTGAAGGACCAGCAAAATTCATAAAAGCTATAATGCTCATGATTATGGTTTATTACAGAAAATGGATCCAGATTAAAATAAGGAAAAAGAAAAGGCACATGGAATGAAAGCACCAGGAGGAAGCGGCGCGAGCTTCCAGATGTCCTCACTTAGTGCAGTCCCAAGGACAGCTCTTAGCTCTCCCATCAGTGAAACGTGACAATACGCGTCAAGTGTTGCCCATCAGGGAAGCTCATCTGAGACTTGGTACCAGAGTTTAACTGGGGATCAATTATGTAGGGGTACAGGGCCTGTGGCCTCCCTGGTTAAGAGCTCAGTTAAGAGCCTGAAGAGCTCAGATGGTCAAGAGCCTGCCTGCAAGGCAGGAGACGCGGATTCAATCCCTGGGTCAAGAAGATGCCCTGGAGAAAGGAATGGAAACCTACTCCGGTATTCTTGCCTGGAGAATCCCATGGACAGGGGAGCCTGGTGGGCTACAGTCCTTGGTGTTGCAAAGAGTCCGACCCGACTGAGCAGCTAACACACACATGCAGTGCCTGTATG